GTCTGTGGTGTTCTAAAGACTCAGAAAGGCTGGCAGCCAAGGAAGGTGCTGTGAAAGGCTAATGCCAGCCAATTCAATAGGAAATGACGATCCCTTGCTCAGGTTCAGCACAAGGGCCATTGCTGATTGAAAAGGAGTCTAGGTCTCTCTGAAAAAAATGCTATGTGATAGCACCAGTCTACCCTGGAAACACTCACCGAATCTCTAAAGGGACCGGTGGGCTGGTACCAGAGTAACCTAGTTAGGGGAGGGAGAACACACAGACCTTGAAGGGATCTGAAGTGCTATTACGATCTTGCATCATATAGTGGGGGAGCAAGGAGACGCCAGGAAGTAAATGGGGTGCTGGCCCAAGTCCTTTTCATTGTGGTGGTTTCCTGCAACCCTTTGCCTTTCCTGGTTGGTACGATTAGTTATTATTACTAAAGCAGCAGCCCCTCCCAAACAGCTCTCATTCCCACATTCCATCAGCTACAAAATCACAACCGAATCTTCATTGTTTAAAAATTTTGAGTCATAATATGTTTAATCCAACATATATTTTTTTTTTTTTTTTTTTTTTTTTTTTTTTTGATGGCTTGTCCTGGAAACACCTCAGGCTCGGCTCCTGCGCCCAGCTCTCTTCTCTGCTGGACTCCTTGACTTTTTTTTTTAATCATTGTTTGATTTTGAGCAGTAACCAGGCTTTTTTTTCCAGATGTTAGTCCACACCTATTCGTCCATGGTGAGTTTGGATTCGCATTGTACCAGAATTGCATGCTCTCTCTTTTCACTGTCTCTCGGTCTTCGCATCTCTGTGTGTGTGTCTCTCCCTGTCTCTCTGTCTTTCTTTGAGCGCCTTTGGCTTGGTAATTTAGCACCATAATTGGACGAGGCTGCAGCTGCTTCTCTCTCTGTATTGTGTGTTCTCGTCTCTGAGCTCCATGAGTCAGCTGGGAGAGGGGGGAGGCTGAACTGGAAAACTTTGTATTTGTCATTGTACTTTGGAAATTTAGGTGACTATTCCAGTAGAAAGAACCATGGAAACTTTGCCATGGCGCTTGCACAGAGGAGAGGTAGAAATTAAAAGCACCCCCAACCCACACCTCCCCCTTCTCCTCCTTTCGCTCGGTCACACTCCAGAGAGGACCAACAATAAGTTGTCTGGGGGTTCGCCCCCTCCCAACTTCAGGTCCTTCATTTCCACACCCTGAAGTATAACAGCATTTGGTGCAGAAAAGTCAGCTTAGAAATAGCTCCTGCCAACCACATCTCATTTAACGTGGGCTTAGGCTATGATTTCAAATCAGATCTGTTTCAATCAAACACTGTTGAAGTTATTTAATTCTTTCTGGGGGGGACAGGGATGACTGAGAACTCAAAGCAAGCAGCTTCCTTGGAGCTCTGAAGATTGCCAGGTTAGGCCAGGGCTCCTGTTCTGCCGCCTGCACTCCCGAGAAGGCACAGGTTGGCATCTCACAGGGGATTATAGCCCCCAGATACCGTGAAGTTTTATTTGCTGTGCTTTGGATCCCTGCAAGAGTTAGAGAAAAGGAGCTAACAGGCGTAGAAGAGCACCGCTAGCAGAGGTTCCGGGCACCGGGCAACCAGTCCACACACGAAGTTCATCTGCCTTCGCCCCTTTTGCTCACTTTGCACTCCCCCAAGAAGGCTCAGTTCTGTGGGCGATTCTCCTTTTTTTCTCACCAAAGCCTTCCATGTGGATTTGCTGAAATCATGCGGCCCTGAGTCAACCCAGGGTCTAAGTTTTAGGCTCCTTTTTCCCCTGTCCCAAGAAGGGTGTAAGTAAGCCTGGATTCTCCATTTGTGTTTCTCTCTCTCTCTCTCTCTCTCTCTCTCCTCCCAGGACCGACACGATGGCGTCCCGAGTCACAGCTCAAGGCTCTCCCAGCTGGGCTCGGTGTCCCAAGGACCCTACTCGAGCGCCCCGCCGCTGTCCCACACTCCATCATCGGACTTCCAGCCACCCTACTTCCCGCCCCCCTACCAGCCGCTCCCCTACCACCAGAGCCAAGACCCCTACTCCCATGTCAACGACCCCTACTCCCTGAATCCACTGCACCAACCCCAGCAGCACCCCTGGGGGCAACGGCAGCGGCAAGAAGTGGGCTCAGAGGCCGGCTCCCTGCTCCCCCAGCCTCGGGCAGCCTTGCCTCAGCTCTCAGGCCTCGACCCCCGGAGGGACTACCACTCAGTTCGCCGGCCGGACGTGCTGCTGCACTCGGCCCACCATGGCCTGGACGCAGGCATGGGCGACAGCCTCTCCTTGCATGGCCTCAGCCACCCCGGCATGGAAGATGTCCAGGTAACTGCAAATTAAGTAGAGGATAGCCCAGGAGGGACCCCTCAGGGGAAGGGTTGGGGAAGAGCAACTTTGCCTCTCTGGAGAGAAGTCATTCTCATCTTTTAAAACAGGACCAGAGGGTCAGGATATATATATAATATGCATCTGCAGCAGTGATTTCTGGCAGTGCAATTGTGAATTAGAGGAACTAAAAACTAAATCATGAAGGGGATAAGTAAGAAATGCTTGATACTTTGTGCTCATTAGAATCAAGGCTAGCTTTCGGTCCTCCCTCAGCAACCCTACTCCTAGCCCCCCATTACTCTGCCTGCACAGGCGTGGTAACCCACACAGGCACAAGCAGCACATCTGTACATGCACAGCCGTGCACACTACACTGGGTGTTAGTTCCACAGAGCTGGCAGTGAAGTCCTGGCTGCCTAGAGACCAGGATTCTATCAGCAAGGTGCCAGCGCCTCTGGGTACACCGGTGGTTCTGCCGGAGGGGCAAGATTGTGCCAAGGGTAACCATGCACACTGGGAGAAAGTCATGGGCTCTATTTGTTTGTCCTGTTCCTGATGTTCCCATCATGTCAGAGCTTTGCCCAAGACAGTCACTCTCTGAAAACGGAATATTTGTGGGGGACAGACCCGGAGGTCTGCAAGTCAGTTTGCAAGTCCATGAGGACAAATCCATCTTGGGATTCTTCTCACTTTTTGATCTATTGGATGGTGGTGGAATAAGTCTGCACCTTCACTCTTCCGCCCACCCCTCCTCTGTCAGTCCTCTGTCCACGCCGCCAGCCAGCCCCATGGAAGAGGCATCACCCAGCCAGCCCCATGGAAGAGGCATCACGTGTTTATTTCTTAAAACAAAGGCTCAAAATACTCCCCCTACCCTCCCACCATCCCATCTGCAACACAATGGAGCCTGATTTGGTTGAGAACAGTTGGTTAAATTAAACAAAGGAACATCAGTGAGATGATTTCTAAAAACTCTTTGGGTGATTCTGAGCAGGATTTTCCCCCTCTAATTTAAATAGTTTCTAGAAAAAAAAATATGCCTGAATGGAATTTAACTGACAGTTCTATCTCATGGGCATAGTTGTACATATTATGCATCGTTGTAGTCGTGGTTGTGAAGCAAACAAAAATGAAATGGAAAAGGGCTGCACAAATCATTCTTCTCTACCTTTCTGAAAGGAAAATACATTTTTAAACGTTTAAAATGTAGTGCCAGAGTCAAATACTGTCTGTGTGTGGTCTAGGAGTCGTTTATTATTTTAAAAGAAGCTTGTTTATTATTTTTAAAAAGAATGAAGTCAGCTGATTTGTGCCTGGATTTACCCATAGTAATGATCAATGGTTTTGTTGTTTCAATTGTGATTGTCCCTGTTTGGAGATACTGCTCATTTCAAAACATCTTATGAGAAAGGAGAATATTAAATAGTCTTCCTAATGCATTGAGATAATATGTATCTCAGGGGGAAAGTTTTTAAATTAACCTTTCTGAGTATGGTTCAGAGTGCTGGATAATGAAAGCGGATCAACTCATTACCATTGCTGCTGGTGTGGCCAACACTGGCCTTGTCCCTGCTATCCTGCATGCTGGCCGAGGGGCGCAGACAATTGAATTCAGGAATTCTTCCCTCCAAAGAGGGAGAAGATTGCTTTAGGTTCAGTTATTGGCTTTTTTTTTCTTCTAATGACAGAATTGTCAGGAGATTTACTGCATCAAAGTGTCAGGAAGGTTTTAGAATCGTGTGAACAGAAAGCACAGGCTGGGTAGCTGCTGTCTTGTACTGTCTCGTATAGAGGCTACAGAGGTGGAGAGGGCAGTGGAGAAAAGAAAAGAACCAGGGTGTGACCCCTTCACATCTCTGGCCAATCCAGTTCCTTCCCTATTCCTGCTCCAGCTTCACTTCAGCCTGGTGAGGTGGGAAGGTTTATGGGACCTCAGAGCAAAGGGCTAAGAGACAGATAACACCCGGTGCTTGTCCTGGGAAGGAAAGAACCCGGCAGGTGAGATTCCTGTCACCTTCTTTAGGCCAGACCTCCTGAGGACAGGGTGAGGTCGACAGGACTCAGGAAAGTGACAAAGACAAGGGAGAAGATGTAAGTAGGACCAGACGCCCCAATCCAGAGACTGTGATTTGCCTCCCCTGTCCTACCAGAAAACCCACTTACAAGTCAGGGACTGGAATGCTAAAGCTACTCGGCCTTGGGGGTTTCCAGCATTCCCTGCAGCGAGGCTGCAAATGGGCTGGCTGCACCTGTCCAGTCAATAAAAGGGGCAGGAGAGTGCCCTGGCCTGCACCTCAGAGGCACTTGTTCAGGCTCCAGGGTCCGGCCTGTGCTCCCAATCTTCCCCACCAGCCGAGAGCGGTCAGCGCCTGAGGTCGCTGCCCAGGCCTCTGGGTCAAAGGTTGGGGACAACCCGAGGCACTCAGGCGGGGCCACCTCCGTGCAAGAGGGGAGAGGGAGAGCTAATTAACCAAATGCTTCTAATATTTTTTAAATGAAACTATAAAACCCTGTCAATCTCTATTTCAATTTACTCACAGGGGCCATTAAAGTAGCAAATCGCTGTTTGGGTTCCTGGCATGACGCACCGCACCGTCGCGAGTGCGTAGGGGATAAGGGGCAGTGCTTAAAAACTAGGAAAAATGGGTCACAAAGAAGACGGGGACAGCAAGAGCGATGACACCTGGTCAAGGATTGTGGAGCAGCCGGGGCTGCGGCTCCTTCCGCCCATCCCGGCTGCCTGACCCCTCATCCCCTCTGCCACCCAGGAATGCAAACCTATAAACATGCTAAGCCAACCCCCAAGCGCACGCGCCCGCGCACACACACGCTCACACACTCAAACACACCCTTGTGTCTTAAAGCAACCCCTGGTATCACTTTTAACTAAAGAAGTCTAGTAATTACGAGTCTGAGTTGTTTTTCCTCGCTTCCGCATGCAGTCCTAATTAAATCTTTACGATCCTCCCTGTGCCGATTAAGCGCCAGCATGCTGCGTGAATATCCTGTACGAAAACCCAGCAGGCGGCCGTAATTAGATAGAAAATCAGACAAGAGCCTTCTCATTAACTACCACAACGACCCCACGTCGCTGAGCACGCGTGTGTGCACGTCTGCGCAGCGGCGCGGGCGAGGTGCTGGCCGTCGCGAGTGCGCCAAGCCCCGACGTTGCGACCCTGGCTGGAGGCCGGCGAGCATGCGGCGCGCCCCGGGGAGTTAGGGACGCGCCTGGGGGGTGCATTTTTTGGAACAGCTTTTTAGTGTTCTTCAGATGTGCTTGGTGTGCTGCTACACCGAACACAGTTCTCACCGAGAGGTGATTTTCCTCACCTCCCCAACAGCGAAAAGAAACAAACCAGCAACAAATCACCCTGGGTGATGAGAGAGGTCCGGTTCCCAGCCCGGCCGCCTGGACTGAGGCATGCGTGGGTGGCGGGTCCGCCTCGAGCCTCCCCTCTGCGGCCCTCTCCTCTGTGCTTCCCCCTGGAGAGGGGGTCAGCTTGGCCCGAACCTAAGTTCTCAGGGTTGAGCAAAGCCCTCTGCATTTCAGAAAGACCCAGCGTCTACTGTCACCGGGATGGCGGGGTAGGAAGGGTGGAGGGGAGCTGTGTTTGGACACCCTGGGGTGCGGGGCACAGAACTCTGCTCAGATACGTGGGAAAGTGAGACCCCCCCCATAGCTGTTCGCAAGCTCAGAGTTCAAACTTTCCCTCTTAGGATGACACGGTGGCACAGGAGGCGGGTTCCCTGAGATTCCCTAGGGGCAGGCTGGCAGGATCCAGGGTGTGTGTGTGTGCCTGTGTTGTGCGTGTGTGTTGGGCGCACGCACTTGCTGCCTTCCAAACAGGTGTGCTCCTCGCAGGCAGTGGTGCGCTCCTCCGGGCTAAGATGAGCCCGCGGCGCGGCAGCCCGCCTTGGATTGCGGTTGTGCCCGCAGAGGTCCGGAACACCGCGCACAGACCGCAGCGGCGTGGCCCTGGAGCCTCGTGAGCGTCTCTGTGTGCTGTTGTTCGCATTTCACTCCAAATTGCTCAGGCTTTAATTAAAATCCTATAATGTAAACTATTATATATTTGTGAAGTGGCTCTGGGGTTAAAATGGACCACCATAGCATGGAAAACAAAAATTGCTCTTAACCAATACTAATGAAAATCTGTCAGCACTTGCCAGACTTTCACAGTTCATCCAAGCAAATATTATAAAGGCTTGTAATACTGATGTTTTATATAATAATTGACCAATATTGAATCCTAGATGTATCTCATGGTTCCCTTTCCCTTTTCTTCCAGTGGAAGAATTTATAATTTGGGTGAATTTAATTTCTATGTCGATTTGAAGGTAATAATGATAATAATAAAACCTCTCTTCGTGAATTAATATAAATGGAAATAACAGAAACTCCCACATAGGATGACATGATTTATGTGTGCAATTCTTTAGTATCCAGTCAATTTGAATAGTGATGTTTTTGCATTTGCAGTCAGTTGAAGATGCCAATAACAGCGGCATGAATCTATTGGACCAGTCTGTCATTAAAAAAGGTATGGATTTTCCCTCCCAAAAGTAAGCAAAGTTTTCCCGCGCTTTAATGTCTTTACGATGAGTTTTCACTTTGGGAGACTTGGATATTTAGACATGTTTGTTTACAACCCTCATGCAACGACTGTCCGACAGGTCAAAGGAACAAGGAAACAGGGTAATGCGGAGTGAAAGCCTGAGAAACGGAAGGACAGAAACAAATGCCATTTCCCCTCTAACACATCCGGTAGCCATTCTAGGTGCATCTTAAATGAACTGTCATGTGTGGAGTTGCCTGGGAACCACTGGTTTCCAAAATGCGCCACAATTGTTTCATTGATAACAACCACACTGAGCCTAAGCGTATAGTTGAGGCAACTTCTTTTTGCCTTGTTTTTGTTTTGATTTTTTTGGTAGTAATTTTGCTTCCAGTTCTCTGTGTTTGTGAGTTGTTCTTATTACTATTTGTAATTGAGCCAAATGGGTTGCTAAATGCACGCACCCGGAGGAGCTGAGACAGCCCACGCACGTACCTAAATCTTCTCCACACGCACTCGTGATTTAGTGGGGCTGAGGAATCACCCCATACTGTTAAAGGGCATGTGATATTAACAAATGTTTGCAGTCTCTTGTACAGCTGTAAGCAAAATAATTAACTAATTAAACTAATTAAATGTAATTACAATAACTCATTTCGGGCGTATTGCAGCTGCTTAATTTTTTTCTCTTCTTCTCTGACAGTCACTGAGAGAATGCCTGGCGATTAGAGCGGCTGCCAAAAGGCCTGAATGTCACTCACATGCCACAAATTTAGAGGCCCGAATGTATAAACACTGCAGTATTTAATTATCACAGGAACTTGTGTTTGAAAACACAATTTTAACTACTGTAACCCTTTCCTCTGAATGTTAGAGCAGCCCAGCCCTATGACTGGTGTCAACAATCCCAAGCTTCAGTCATTTGTGATTCACTTGAGCCACTTGACATTGACAAAAATGATTAAAAAGAAAAAGAAAAAGGAGCTTTGGAAAGCAATCCATCTAGAATCAAATTGGAGTAGGATTGCGGAATTGCAGAAAGGATGGGGTATTCGCAGTGTGCTTCTTCGATGCAGGCATGAGCAGCAGCTTGGAGAGGTGGGTGGGGTACCGGACCCGAGATGATGCCACTTAGCTTCAAAAGGAGTGTGCTGAGACGTCCTGAGGTTTGGAGCAAATTCTTTATTTTGTGTATTGCTCAGCACAATCTCGCCCTCTTTAGACAGCACCGTCTCGGGTGCTCAGCCCCAACTCTGGAGGCGCTAGGGTTCTCACTGCGGCACCTTGGAACTGTGCCGGCAGCTCACTTCCGCTGCTTCCTCTTGGGTCTTCTCTTCTGGTTAATTGCTGGTCGATTGGAGCAAGGTGAGGGAGGAGCTTCTCCGCCGCTTTTTTTGTGTTGTTTCCGCTCCAGTCCTTTCTAAGGGAAGCTCCAGCGCTTAGCTGAGCGCTTGTATCCTAGCAACATCATTTGGGGCTGGCAGTGGACATGCCCAAAACATGGCCAATCAGAAATGGTATTAGTAGTCAGGCCAGTAAAACACTTAAAACTTAGCGTACCTAGCAAAATGGAGCTGGAAATATTCTTAGATACGGGAGGGACACTTTGGCTGCAGGACTTGAATGTGTTCTTGTGCAAAAGGGTGAATATTTATGTATAAGGTTATCTGTGGAAATTAAAAATGGATATCAGTGACTAAGGTTGCAATTTCTGTTTTGGGAAATGCTGGAGTACTCTTCAGAAAGGTAGATAAGTTTAAAATATCTAAGTAGCACCCTTGTCACTTTAATTGATTCAAGGGACCTGGTAAGATACGAATATTAGGTCAATTCCATTATTTGATATTTGAGATATTTGCTTTATTACATGAGGGAAAGATCCTATTATATTTTTATCTTTAAAGAGCCTTAGGCAAAAATGAGAATAAATGCTTGATTTATTCTTTCTAACTCACCACAAACCACTTAAAATAAAGCTGTGGGTTCACTTCCCTCTTCCCTCTACCCTGGTCTCCTACCTTTGCCAACGCACCTCCCCACAGGGGATGGCTCTGGGAAATTAATTTTGTAAAAGAAATGAGCATGTTTTCTGGATATTCTAAACTTCAACAACTGGCAGGGGATTTAGTTGCTTAATTTATTTTCTCATAGGCTTTTACATAGATTTGTAAAAATTTTGCTTTATAAATAAAAGGCCAGCAATAGAATTGGTCAAGGTCTCTCTCTCTCTTTCTCTCTCTCTCTCTCTCTCTCTCTCTCTCTCTCTCTCTCTCTCTCTCTCTCTCCCTCTCCCTCTGGCAGGGCCCCTCCTCAAGTTCAACCAGCCTAATTTTTCACCCGTGTTCATATCACCCCACAGATTACAGGCTCCTTCTTGTGTTATGTTTGCTATCTGGGTTTAGCTGACATTTCTGAAGTAATTTAGTTAAGAGGAAATGAGTTGTTCCCAGTAGAGAGAGCAAACGAGTGGAGTGAAGGTAGCCAGCGTGATAAATGGCTCTTTCATTTGAAGATCTCCAGAGCTCGTTTACGGCTAATTTTCTGTATTGGCCCCCTTTGAGCTATTAATGCAATCGGCAGGGACCGTGGCCCCTCTCTTCTTAGTTGCCCCATTAGAGCTCCCATTAAGCCGCCTAGACTCAACTCCATGGCAGGAGTGTGTGTGTGGTGGGGGGAGTAATGAAAGGTGCTTTTTAAACTCTCCTAATCTAAACCGGCAGAGGGTGGTTAATACGATTTGAAGGGGGCTGGTCAATGAGCAATCAATAAAGTAATAATGAGAAGGATTCGGTACATTAACAGTCTAAAAATCCAACAAGACATTAAAAAATCATTCTTAACTCTCAGTTCCATTAAGATTAGGAATCTGGGAGAGAATGCCCAGCTAATATAAAACATCGCCACCACCATGGAGCCTAACTAACGAAACCTTACCTAGGTTTTAATATAAAGTTTTTGATGCAATCAGAGACCAGCATGCAGTCATTTTGACACCTTAGACAGCAGAAAATATGCTGGGATTTCTTGGAAAGGCTAGTGTGGCTGGAGTCCAAGGTTCAAATGTTGTTACTGTGGGGCATTTTTATTGGTCTTAGGGATATCCTGTTTGGTTAGTTTCAGTTCAACCTGCGTTCTCTCCCACTTTCTTGCCATCAGTTCTGACCTGTTCCCCATATAAACACTAGCTGATTTGGGTTTTCTTAGGGAACAGGGATAAAGACATTTCCGAATTCGAATTCCAGTGGGTTCCTTGAGATTCTTCTTTCTGGCCTAGAGGGTGAGGAGTACCAAGTGTCTCCCTGTACCCAGCAAAGCTTTGGGATTCTCCTCATAGGAAGATGTTCGCATTTCCAGAGCCCGCTTGGCTGCCAATAGTGATCTGTCAGCTAGAGACCCTGAGATGCATGCTATCCATCCAGGGAACCATTAGGGTTCACAGAGTTCTAAGAGTGGAAAGGTGAAACACTGCTCTCCAGCTTCCCAAGTGTGGAAACCCTCAAGTGTGGAGACCAGGAGCTGACAGGTGATTCGTCAAGGCCCCACACCTCAAGCAGTGACAGCCATCTCAGTTTTCAGTTTCCTCTACTCTGTCATTAAGGGACACCGCTGAACATTTGTAACTTTCTATATTATACCCTTCTCCATAGGAAGTTTTTTCTTTTTCTTTCCACAATTTCAGGCTCACATTTATGCATTGACTCAACATGTAGAATAAAGTGTAGCCCCTGGCAGATGAGGAAAGGCGTAAATATGAGGAAAGGGTTCCTTGCTGCTAACAAGTTGTGACTTCACTTTTCCCAGTCAGTCTAAGTCAGTGGCGAATCTCTTACTTGTGCCCTTATTCAGCTCACCTATCTAAGTCAGAATCCCTTTCTGTGAGACTCACTGCCCCAGCAGAGGGGCTCATCCCAGAAGTGTAGCTTTCTGCCAGCAGCTTGTGTCATTAGTGGTTAGACAGCAGAGACGAAAAGCTGTCCTGTTAACACTTTAGCTCTGTTTTGTCCACTAATGAAGAATGTTCTCTAATAATTTTCTCTCTTAAAACTCCACTCACTGTAAAGAAATACGGATTTTTTTTTTTTTTTTTTTGGAAACGTGCCTTTTTCTTCTTGCTCGCATAATGCAGTGAAAAGGAGAGGTTGGTGAGCTTCGTGGGTGCTGCGTGCAGAAGCTGCTGGGGCGGCCCAACTCAAGGAGTGGAAAGCCACTTTTAATATATGCACGGAAAATTGTAAACATGTAAAGAACAGAAAGCTTCGTGCTGGGTTTCGCCATGCTCCATTTCCTTGCTATTTCCTGCTGTCGCTGTAAACCTATCTCAGTCATCTCTGGGCTCTGTGAGCAGGAACAGTGTGCTTATAATTACTAACAAATCAACCGGGCCCTGTTGCTCTCTGAGCTTATTGATAAGCTGGAAGAAGGCAGAAGATAAAAGACAAAGAGAATAAAATCCAGGGTCAGTCAACTGAGCAAAGCAGGTGCGAGAGTGGAGGGGAAGGTAAATCGTCACAAAACTCTGGACCTTAGTGAAAGCTGGGACAGCAATGTGCAGCACCTAGTCTAGGGACCGGTGCTAAACCAGGTAGGATTAAGAGCCTGCGGGTATAAGCCACAGTGTGAGGACACGACTTTGTTACGTAAATTAGGAAATTAAAATGTAATTGGAGTTACACTTGCTCGTGTTGTCTGTGATTTGGAGGGAAAAAAACCTCCCCCAAGACCCAGGGAGTGGCTAGAAACTGGCTGGATTGGGGGCATTTAGGTGACAATGGATATGCAGAAAGGGACAGCCCTGGGGTTGCAGCAGTATGCATTCCCCAGAGGAAACAGCTCTTGTCAGGTAGATCAGGCAATTAACAATAGTAAAATTAGAGGGCACGTGGTAGAGTGTCTCTAAAGGCCTAGCTTTTCAAGAGATTTGGCACGCAGGACTCAAGAGTAGGTAGAATTCCAGTATTTGGCGATCCAGTCAAGGAAGCAGGAACTAGACTCAGTATTTTCAGCTTAGTGGAGACTTAGTTGTTGCTAAAAATTTTAACTAACATTTAAATAATAAAGTAGTATTGCTGAGTGTTCAAAATGAGATTTTTCTCCAGTTTATTTCTGTAGTTCTATCATAATAAAACTGAAAAGAACTATCTATATTTTAGGGGAAATTTTTCTTCCAAGTGAACCTAATGCCAGTTTCATGACTATAAGTTATTGGTCCGTAGGCTTTGACTCTAAATTTGAAATATAGAATGAGAGATGATGTGAAAAATATGATAAATGAAGGAAAATGTGATACGGTGCATACAAGTTAGAAGACAGGGACCAGGGAGATGGCTCAGTGGAATAAGCGCTTCCCTGGCAAGCGCAAGGGCCTGAGTTCAATCCCTGGTTCAGAAGAAAAAAAAAAAAAAAAAAAAAAAAAATTTAAACTAAAGAATTTTGGTTCAAGGCATATTAAGGTAGGAGAGTTTTTCTGATCAAGGTTTGATCTCTGGCACCACATGCCATGCCAGCCCCACACCCAGGGCCAGCCGAACCAGACACAAAGAAATAAAAAAAAAAAAAAAAACAAGTTAGAAGACAAACAGTGTGATGCCCTTCCAGTCTCCCACTCACATGACTTTACCAACTTTAAACAACTCCGATTAATAACTTCAAGTTTTCCTTCCTTGGTTCCCACTTGGGAAGCAGCCTCACTAATGAGGTTCTGAAGAAATCCCACAGCCAGCCTTTTGAGCTGCCCTCCACTCTGAACTCAGTACAGGAGCACCATCCCTTACCTCCATCGTTGTACATCTGTCTAGGACAGAGCTTTGGGCATGATGAACTCTAACTTACATACCAAGAAACAATGAAAAGAGCATCCATTACTGTCCCCACTTGGCCCCCAGGAAAGCTCCTTTGCACAAGAGTGTTGTAAAGAGCCAGACAATCCATGGCAAATACAAAAATTGGGCAACTACCTGGCTTTTAGTGCCCCTGAACAATCACAGAGGCCTGAATGTTGGAATTTATAACAGAACAGACTGCTACAAAAATCCACACAAGGGAGGTTATCCATCTTGTTTGACCAGGAATTCCAGATCCCAGATGATAAAACAGGGGTATCTTTTTGGTATGGGGTTAAAAGATGAGACAGTCTTTATTCATAAGATAGGGATGGAAATTTTTTTTTTCCCACAATAGGTACAGGTTTCAGTAAATTTCCTGAAGTAGTGAATGGATACATGAGGACCTGCAGGCTTCACATCCCAAGGGAAGAAGCTAGCTTGGGGGAGCAGCACCAGGCTGGTAGGAGCGGAAGGAGAGCAGGAGTTATCTGTCCATTGAGGCCTGAGCCCACTAACAGAAATTGGGTGGAGACGGTTGGAAATCTAGGAGCAAGACTGCTGGGGAGGCTGGGAGGCTGCTTCCTCCCTGCTGCGCTGGCAGCCTCCTGCTACCACAGAGTTCAGCCTCTTCCTGACGTGCAGTTGACACCGAAACACAATTAGACAGAAGCACAGGCTGGAGAAGCTGAACGTACGGGTAGCAGTGGAGACCAGCTGTCAGCTCTTATTAACTTCTGCATAAAACATACCTTGAGTGCGGTTTGTTATCAATTACTTGCCGAAATGAAACAACTGGGGCCAGGCAAGCCTGCCGCTCACGTGAATTAGAGTGATTGGTTGATTGGTCAGGGCACCTGTTGTGAATCCTAAGCACACCTAACAACCGCCAGCCAGCCGGTGCTTTAATTTGTAAACAAAATTCATGTCACTGCGGAATTGTTTTCAGTGGAGATGAGCATTTGAGTTCATTTCTAAATTAATCTGTTCTTGCTGTCACGCAGGAAAGAATTCAGCTCACTTTAAAGAGAAAAGCAGCTTCTTTGGGCCCAACTGCCCAGGTCAGTGGCATTACTTGTCTGTACCCTGGCATTGACGAGCCCCGCCCCGGTCCTCTTCCTGATCGCAGATCTGGGTCCAGCGAGAGGCAGGAAGGAGTGGACTGCACTGCCACTTTGGATAGGGAAATGGTGGTCATCACCTTAGATGCCTGCACACAATGGCATGACCATCCTCAGGTGACAGACGAGGAAGTGGAGAGCCAGAGTCCAGCCAGTGAGAAGGCTAAGATCGATCGCACCGCCAGCGCAGCAAGGAATAAATAGGACTTGCTTAGTTCTATACCACAACCACTCCAAGCTCGGGCGTTGTGTTCTCTCGTTTTGTTTGCTTGTGGCGATGGGGCGTGGCAGGCGACACCCAGGTGTCCAAGGACAAACCTGGAGTAAGTTTCCAGAGGGTGGTGGCTGTCCCGTCTCTGCCCGCAAGCGCTTCCTCCCCCAGTTTTCCGCTGGGCGCGTGTGCAGCAGTCACGCGTGGACGCACTCTCCGCGCTGCTCAGCAGGCCGGAAACCCGGTCACCTTTATGGCTCTCGTTTCCTCTCTCTCTAGTTCCGGTCCCTCCCAAATCTGTGACTTCTCTCATGATGAATAAGGACGGCTTCTTGGGAGGCATGTCGGTCAACACCGGTGAGGTATTTTGCTCGGTCCCGGGCCGGCTGTCCCTGCTCAGTTCCACCTCAAAGTACAAAGTCACCGTGGGGGAGGTCCAGAGGCGGCTGTCGCCCCCGGAGTGCCTCAACGCGTCTCTCCTCGGCGGCGTGCTCAGAAGGTACGGACTCTCGCCTTGCTTACGCTGGAGCTTGGGGCGCAGAAGGAAAGCCCCCGGGGGCTGCGCTGGCCCCGCCGTTGCCTAGCAACCAGAAGGCTGCTTCTCGGGAGAGCAGCAGCGCCACGTGCTCAGACCCACGCTCTGACGCGACGCGAAGCCCGCTGGGCCAGGCCCTGGGAACCTGCATTTGGCTGTTCTATACCCAGGGACCCCTAAAAGCGCAACCCTCAACCTAGGTACACACAGTCATGTGAAACAAGTGGCTCATGTTTCTGGGGTTTAGTCCATATTTGAAAATACAGGTGGCGACAGCTGAGCTGGTCCCAGGACCCAGGGCTGCTCTGTGCTTCACAGTGTAAAAAGCTTTCCTAAATTTTCCTATGTTTTCAGTAACACTGACACTGGTAACAATTGCACCAGTCCAGAAATGCAAGTGTTATTTGGAGCCATATACCTGCTCCCCAGTATGCCAGCGCACATGCTGACCCTTCCTTATGGAAATGGAGAGACAGTTTCTAAGATTTCAATTCCTGGGGGCCGTGGAGATGGCTCAGTGGAGTAAGCGCTTCCCTGGCAAGCACAAGGGCCTGAGTTCAATCCCCATTTGGGGGGGGGGGATTTCAATTCCTGCCCAAAGTCCCTGCCCTAACCTGAATCTTTTAGCGCTGTCCCCAACAGGGGAGTGACTCTGAGGCCAAACTTCATTTTAGAGCTGAAAATCCGTCTCTTTCCTACAAGTGGCTGCGTGAGGAGCGCATCAAGAGACGTTATAGACTATCCTTCTGGCTCTTACCGAAAGAACCTGGAAGAGATGAAGGATGTGGGCGTGACCTAGGAAGACTCTAATTTTATTATTATGATTATGATTATGATTATTATTATTATTATTATTATTATTATTTGGTGGTATCAGGGATCGAACTCAGGACCTTGCACTTGCCAGGCAAGCACTTATTCCACTGAGCTATCTCCCCAGCCCCAAGCCTCTTATTTCAAATCCACTTGTACTGCCCTACTTTGTTTCATCTTTCAAGTGAGTTATTTACACTTGAGAGTGAAGTCATTCTCAGTCACTCCCTGTATGTGAATGTGTATATGAACTTACATGATTAAATGAGATAGCAAATAGCAAGTGCTTATCTCATAACGACACTCACAGACATGGTCGTTTTACTGTGACGACCAGGGTCGTCAGTAGTTACATATTTTAGCCTTTTCCTCAATCAACTGCATTCCATACAGCAGCTGTTGAGCTTTTCCTGCAAAAGCCCCCTTCCCCAAAGTGCCCCTTCCGTCTGGAACCAAAGGAGGGTCCTCCTTGCCAGCAAAACTCTGCTCCCTGGCCTTCTGCTCTCCTGTCTGGCTCCTGGGCAGGGAAGCAACGTTGGAGCGCTTGGAGGCTTGCGAGCGTGCACGCGTGCGCATGCGTGCACAGGCACGTGCTTCCGCAATTTTTACCTTTTCTGGACTCACAACTTACATCTAAATTATTCCCATCCGGTATCTTTTTTTTTTTTTTCTCACAAGATTAAAAAAAAAAAAAAAAGAAAGGAGCTCAATTTTTTAATGTGCTGTTTTGCAGAAATTAAGCAAACCTCAGCAAACTATCAGCAAATAACCAAAACGAAGGGGAAAGTGCTAACCTCAAGTTAAAACCTCTTCAAGCTCCACTGGGCTTTAGATTGCTAAGTCTAAACTTTGTTTCAGGAATACTCTGAGGTTAATCAGAATGTTAATTCTTGCAATTTCAGAGCCAAATCGAAAAATGGGGGGAGATCTTTGCGAGAAAGGCTAGAAAAAATCGGTTTGAATTTACCCGCGGGCAGGCGCAAAGCAGCTAACGTCACGCTCCTCACCTCCCTGGTGGAAGGTAAGCACGGGGGGCGGGCGGGTGGGCGGCTGTGCTCGACCGTCGGCTTGAGCTGACATTTTCCATGTTTCATGATTAACTGGAAATCATTGCGATTGTGGTGCCCTTCTGAGCGGATGTCAAGCGGCTCCTTGAGAGAAATCCAAAGTTCCTTTTACTTAGAGGGAGGCAGTGGCTGCAGGAGGCCGAGGGACGCACGGTAAAGGTCCCCATGCTCTGAAGCACGACCAGGCGGGTCTCCCAGTGAGGCAGAGGTCACCTCTATTGCCACACACCCACTGTCTGGATTCTTGCAGAAAGAGAGGCCATAAGCAGCCTGGTGTACCCCTTCCTTCCGCAGGCCTTACCTCTGAATGTCTGCTGTTATAAAACACACTGCGTTCGTTCATGACCCCCTAATGGTCCTGTTAGAACTCTTACCACTCCCATGGCCCTATTTCTTGCCAATTACCTGGGGCTTTCTGAAACATTGGTAACTTATAAGGTCAAAAAGCAGAAGAGAAAACTGGGGAAGGAGTGACCAGAAACATGGAAGAGAGTCAAGCACGATCTTCAGAGCAGGCTTATCCATTGTAGACCACATGGTCATAATAGGAACAATCACATTCTGCTTTGCTTATTAACTTGGGCTAGGGAATGATGCTTATGTCACGTGTTGAAGAAGACCATCTACATACTTGGGTACGAGAATATCTGTAATTGAATTTGTGGAATGCAAAACAGAAAGTAGAGCCAGGCGATCCTAATAGACAAAGATAAAGAATTTTCTCTAGCATCTACTTTGTCATTCCTGTTTTTCACTTCTATTTTTTATTGATATCACATGATATGACACTCCTGTAGGGAATTGGCTTTTGGAGGAGAATGTTTTGGAATATTCAGCCAGCAACCTGGCCATCACAATTACAGACTTTGCTTGCACTTCACTGTCTTAAGGCAGAGCTACTAGGTGTAAACTTACCTTCCAGAGGCAGTGGCCACCAAATGTCCAAGCCACTCTTCTTAGCAGTTGATTGTGAGCCTGAGGTTTCACAGTTTGCCCTTCAGGGAATTGCTAATGTCATCATCCTCATTTGGAAAATGAACCCAGGTGGTCTTAGACCAAGATGGGGATTCTGGTGGAGAAAGGAAGAAACTGGGAATCCCAATGAAATTCCAATATTCGTGGCACTTCAGCTTTGTGAATCCTTAGAAACACTATGCCTGAAGTCTTCTGTTGTTATTATGATAATGATGATTAAAAGTATGTCATGCTCCTTAAAAATAAAGTAACTCTTGGATAATTCAACATATCTCTTTTTCATATTTGTGATCTTTCCAGAAACCCCTAAGGCTGTGCTTTAACAGGTAATAATGTTTTATTTGAAAGGGGCGTCTCATAATCTCTGGGATGCCTTCCGTGCCCCATTTCTGGGAACCTGCATCTCTGCATAGTAGAAAGCCTGTAAGTAGCAGGAGGGTGACAGGTACCTCTGAGGGAGAGACCTGAAACCTGGCTAATAGGATGAAGTGACAGGAACAATTCTCATCTGCCAAATAGAAGAGCATCTTCCATGTGCACTTTACAAAATTTTAAAATATCTGTGAACATTTATAAACATGGATTTGCTGATATGTATTAGTTATTAGTAAGAGATAGTTCCTAATACAGTTATAGGGAGATGATGGTGACTTTCAGATTTTATTTAAAGCAAATTTAACCCTTGCTTTAGAAAGAAGGTGGAACCTGGCCTGCCAAAAGTCTAGGTTCAGTTCTGAGTGGGGTCATGAATGTATTGGTCTGTTGTAGGAGACCCCAAGCTATTCAGGGGTGTCTAGGTGGGACTTGGCTCAAGGAAAGGCTGGAAAAAGCAAGAGAAGTAAAGTTTTCCCCACAACTTTAATTACAGATTCCAAATTTTCTTTCCTCCCAGGATCTGTCTCTTGCCCAGGTACCTGGTTCTGCTGGAAATCCTAGCCGAATTAGCAGAGGCTGGGTGCTAATTCTCTGCTGTTTTCTTTTCAGGAGAAGCTGTCCACTTAGCCCGGGATTTTGGGTACATTTGTGAAACAGAGTTTCCAGCTAAAGCTGTCTCTGAGTATTTGAACCGGCAGCACACAGATCCCAGTGACCTGCACTCCCGAAAGAACATGTTGCTGGCAACCAAGTGAGTGTCTCAGGCCCTGGGCTTCCATCCTGCTGGCCACCTATGGGGGAGGGGGTGCAGCGGTGCCAGACCTACTGTGGGAAGGAGAAGTGTGGCAAGTAGTGGCGCTTCAGCCAGTGCAGCCAGGGCTAGACAGCCTCCTTGGCTCCTCCAGGATGGGCAGATTTGAGGACTATGGGCTTACCTAAGTCCTCTTTTCTTTCCACCTCTAGCTTTATTAAGCCAAGGCCGGCATTTTACAGCTGCTTTCTACAACCCCAGGGAAGTCAGGCAGACCTTTTCCAAGCCGGCCCTGGAAAAAAGGACCTGCCTGGAAGGTGTATATTGCTGCCGGGGTGTCCCATCTGTCTCCCTGCCATCTCTGTACAGCTCTGTGTGCTTGCCCAAGGTGTCTACGTGTCGCCCACCTGTACCCATCTCTACCCACGGCTCTAATTACTCCGTTTCCAACGTTGCTGTTTGTCATCTTCCACAGACTTGTAAAATTTACTGCAACTCCAGAGGGGAAAATAGTAAATCTCTGGCTAAATTTAGGTCTAGAGCTCATTTGAACTTTTACAGTGGGTTTTCTATTTATTTGATTTACTCCTGTCTTTGGCTTCAGTGTCATATTGTTAGTGTTTTATGGCCGGCTCAGGCCTGCAGTGGGCGGCGCTGCGTGCGCCCGCACGTTTCTCTCGCAGGCTCGGCCTGAACAGCGCGCTCATTTATTTAGTGCTGCAGGACGCGGTTTGTTCGGTTGACAGCATAATTTAAAGAAATATATGGAAGGCTGAAAAATCATTTGCTCAAATTTGTCCAGATGTTTTTGAGACGTGATTGGAATTTGATTGCCCCTTTCCGCAGGGTCAAAAAATATTAATGTCCCAGAACTTTAATTGCTTACAGACCCTGGTTTGGGCTTTGAAGATTTAAAATGTTTAACTCTAAGCATTTGTTCTCTTCACTACAGAATTTCCTTTTTGGCACTTTAGTAATGAGTACAAACTTAAGGAAAGATTTTAACCATCTCCCCCAATGATCAAAACCTGGCCTCCACCCTCTGTAGGGCTTTCCTCTGAGGGAAGGCCAGGAATACGGGAGATCTTCGTCAGGAGCTTGCTCTCCGACACCCCCCCACTCCCCACCCCCCACCCCCGACTCGGTGTCTGGGTTTGGGAGACCTGTTGTGCCTTGTAACAGAAGCAGGATACTTTAGGGAAAAATAAAAATAAAACAAAGTGTGTGAGTCTGATAACAGGACCCTGCAAACATCTCAGGAGTTCCCTAAGGGATGCTTGTGACGAACCGGCTCTTGCAGTCTTGTTTTTCTTAAGCCAGTACTTTGCAACTTGAGGGTATCAGAATCCTCCAGGGAGCTTTCCTGAGATATTTCTGCACAGACCTCTCCTCTGTGACTCTGTGCTGGATTTGATGGGGGGTAGGGATTTGGGCATACAGACCTGCATGCCCTCACTGATCCCGAGGTATCTCTTGCTGAAAACTGTCTCACTGAGGTCAGAAAGGTGGCAAGCTTCTTCCCAAGGGACCTGAGGACAGAAGGAGGGTACCTGGTATTGTTCTCCGCCCACCCAGGAGTCTGAAAATCCAAAGTCCTACTGCTTCAGCTGGGGGGGGGGATGGGAGGAAGCAGTCCCTGCTTGGTTTAGTCAGTAACCTTAGTCTAATCGGCCCCTGCTGGGGAAAGGGTGCCCCAGAGTCCTTCCAACAGTGTGACCTGCTGTTTTCCTGTTGGCTAGACCAGGTGTTGCCAAGTTGCTTAGGCTGTCCCTTGAGGTCTGTGCAGCGTTAGGCTGCCCTGAGTTTGCTTCCCTTAGAATCTTCTGAGGCCAGCTAGAGGCAAGTGACAGAGGCCTGGCAGTGTGTGGCAAGTGTGGTCGCTGGGGTGCAGCGTCCCTGCTGGCTAGCAGAACCAAGTCCTCTGGCCTGCTGGGCTGGAGCCTCCGTTCACTTCTTATATTAAAACATTTGTCAAATAAGCTCAATCTAGAGTTGGGCATGCAGGATTTCTAGGGCTGGATCTCTCTAAGGTGTAGATGCCTTGAAGAAATAAAAGCCTTCAAAAAATAAAAATCTGGCCTCCCTAGTGTTTTCACAGCTTATCTTTAGATTTTATTTAAACTATGTGGGAACCTTTGATATTGACAAGAATCTTGTTATGGGAAGATTTTTATTAGCCCATACTTGCAAAATAGAAAGTGTAACTTTTTTTTTTTTTAAAGAAAGAATCCTTCTCTGGCTGCATACAGCAGGTAAAAGGCTTTTTTTTTTTTTTTTTTTTTTGCCTTGAATGGAATCAGCATTCTGTCCTAGAATAAACAGTGTCTGCCCTGGGCCATGCAGAGCTCAGCAATCTGCTCCACTGCCCAGTGGGCTTGTGGCCCAGGGCCTAAATCTTTCAGGGCTCTTTGTGTCTGATCACCAAGAGATGGGAGAGGCAGGAGAGAGGAGGGGAGAAGGACCTAAAGGAATGCCAGGTAAGTGTACACAAGTATGGAATATTCGAAGAGCGAAAGCCTCCTCAGGTTGCCAGAGTGGAACCCAGCTGTCCTGGAATGAAGGGACCGAAAGGCAAAAAAACGAAACCAAAAATTAAAACGACAAGGCTTGGGGTCGCAAGTGGCACCTTCTCCCCCACCCCTGCTATCCTTGCTGTCCCAGCTGCTCCCAGGGAGGAGCTAGAAAAAGGAAACAGAGCAGAATCGCTTCCCGAGCTTCGCTCCGCAGGCCAGGGCCTCTGGGCTTGTCGCAGTGTCTCCTTTCTCATGCCAAATGCCAGTGACACTCGGTGATTTTCTGTTCTTCCCCCACCCCACTGCAGGCAACTCTGTAAAGAATTCACGGATCTGCTGGCTCAGGACCGGACACCGATCGGGAACAGCCGGCCCAGCCCCATCCTGGAGCCCGGGATCCAGAGCTGCCTCACGCACTTCAGCCTCATCACGCACGGCTTCGGCGCTCCGGCCATTTGCGCGGCACTCACAGCCCTGCAGAACTATCTGACCGAGGCGCTGAAAGGCATGGACAAGATGTTCTTGAGCAGTACCGCCCCTAACAGGCACACATCTGGGGAAGGCCCAGGTAGTAAAACTGGCGACAAGGAGGAGAAACACAGGAAATGAAAAAAAAAAAAAAAGTTTAAAAAAAAGAAGGAAAAATGTTTTAAATACAAAAGGAAACAGAAAAAATTAATTTTAGCTTTAAAATATTGGATTGGCTTTGGAAGAATTATATTAGGTAGAATACACATACAATCAAAAATTTAAAAAAGAAAGCTAAGTAACTTTAAAAAAAAAACCTGAGGCATACAGCGGAGCAACAGTATCGGTTCTCAGTGTCTATTTCAAGATTACACTTGGAGACCACCGTCCGGATTTTCCACTTCGGTTCTTTCGAGCTTAGTAATACTGATAATAAAAGAAAACTATGATTTCCCCCTTTGGAAAACAAACCTAAGACTTAATATGAGAAAACGCTAACTTATTGGAAGAAAATCGGAGAAACGTTGTTGTCAGTGCTTTGAGAGCTTGTGGACTGAGACGCACGAACTTTTTAATTTTTAATATTTTTTTAGGAAACTCTTTCACAGTCCCCGCCCCCTGTTCCATCCGGCCCCTCTCCCAGCCACCCTTTTCTACAGCTGCCCTCCTTCCTGACACTGTTGTGGGAATCTTCGGGATGCAAAGAGTGTGATGAGCCCCTTGGTGAGGTTTAGGTCACTTTGGTCCTGGCCCAGCCTGAGTTCCTAACTCCCGGGGCCCAGGTCCCTGGCAGTTTGCAAAGTAGGGAGGTGCTGCTGCCGGGCGGGGGTGCAGTTTTGGGTGCCGCAGACTGGCCAGAGGCTGCTTGGCTCGGCAAATCCGGATCACTAAGCTGATTCCGACTCATCATCCATTCCTTTCAGAAACGTTCCTAGTTACCAGCCTTGCCAGAATCTGCGTACAGAGAAACTTGCATTTGTTATAATATTTGTGTCATCTACCGATTTTAAGAACTATAGTAAAAAAAAAAAATCCAAAACAGTATGAATACGTTGATTAGTATGTAATCCCTTCGGAGGGGTATGTACCATTTCATTCTCTTCTGTTTTCCAAAGCTCTGCCCGCATGGTTTATGAGCTTCTTCAAAGAGGACTTGGGCTTTCTACACAATCTATAAGGTACTGAGAAAAAAAAAATCCAATCCTTTTTAAATCAAAGCTTGCGTGTCAGGATTCTGCAGGTGAACTTCTTTAAAGAAGCTCAAAGGGAATAATATAGAAAGTAGCCAATATGATGGAGGCAGTTTTGAGTCTACTTGCTACATCCTCACCACCGGAACTCCAGTGGGGGTAGGGTCGTGAAAAGTGAATTTAGGGGGAAAGGGTGGAAGTTCTTGAAATTCTATGTTCTACCAGTACTGCCCTCACTTAAAATAGATTCAGTTTCCCCAGGCTCTCCGTTGGTTACTGTTTTAATGAGGTAGGGGCAGCTTTTCTAGGGAAGAGGGTGACACAGACTCTGGTGTTGCAGCCACATCGGCTTCCTTACAAGATGCGTTATGAGTGGGGCACCTTCCCCACCCAGATGTGCACTTATTTTGGCATGTAATGGTAAAAGAATGTGAAGTGAAAGGTGATGCAGTTCAGCTTTGAATTTTACCACAGGGACTATTCCCAGAGGATGAAGTTTCATGCATCTAATATGTTTCACTTCTGGCAGCCCAGGTCGTTCCTGGGACTCCATCTTAGTGTTATCATGAAATAAAATCTAGATTCCATTGTCAGAGGCTCCCAAGAGCAGCAAGAAATGCCCTAGGGTGGTGGTGGTGGGTGAAACAGGTTTCTAAATTTAGTGTAGGTACATGCACCTCTTTTAAACAAAGTATGCAGGACCTCTGCAACATCCCTTGCTGACAATCCAGATGTTGTTCCACAGAATTTATGGACAAGACCAACTTACGTCACCGGGTCTCTAACCCCCGTCCTGGGGTGAAAGGGAGGGTTGGGTTTTTGCAACCTGCCGAGATCTACGATGAGGGAAGGAGGAAAGGGGTAGAGAGCTGGTTTCAGGTGATGAAGAAAGTGCCAGGAAGCTCCTTTCCTACCTTTAGCTCTACCTCAGGCTCGAGGGTGTGCAGGGCGCAGCCCTAGGCGTGTTCGGAGGAGTGCAGTGGCTGGGAACAGGGCCTTACGGGAAGTGTAGCTCCTCTCTCTTCCCATTTGAGAAGCCTGAACCTTTGTCCGTTGGCCGGAACGCTTGTGTTAAATGTGTTCGGATTGCATAGGGCCGGGAGGAAGCACACTGAAAACCATCATCTCCTTTCCTTGCAGGGCAACGCGCCCCACGCGTGTGACCTGCGAGAGACGCGATGGACGCGCCTTGCTCTTACTGTGCAGGTCCCGAGAGCGGGGAGCCGCTCGAGCCCAGGAGTGTTGAGGACATAGACTCAGCCACTGCGGGCCGCCGGCGGCGCTCTCGGTCTCACCCTAAGGGCTAAAGCGACCGAGAAAGCCCCGCGCTCCATTAGGTAAAGGGGCCGCGCCCTGAGGGCTGCAAGCGGGAGGGTCCCAGGGCTGTGCCCAAGGGGCGCCCGCTCCCTCAGGAAGAGCGGCCTAGAAATACGCAAGGAACCAGAAGCTTCCCCTTCTCCCGGTCAGAACGGAAATGCTCTCCACGCTTGTGCTCCTTGGGGGTGGGGGAGAGTGGAATGAGAACGGTCTCACTGGGCCACCAAGGCTCCCTTCTCGCCCTGGCCCGTGGGCCCCTTGCCCCGCCCCCGTCCGCGCGCACAGAGGGCCTCTGCACCCCTTCTCCTTTCAAGTAGGGTCCCTGCCCGCTTGCTTTCGTGGCAGCTAGGTCTACATTTATCTGATAATTGAGTTATTAAAAGATTTGGTTTCCTTGGGCTTTATAAATCAATAAACAGTAAGATTAACACAAGAGTTGCCTTTTAAGTCAAGAAAAATGTTTAAGGAGAGACCCTTTGAGCTTTGTTTTCAAACCAAACAGGTAGGTTGTAACCCTCCCCCCCGCCCCCGTGTTGTAGACATTCAGCTTTGCCCGCTTCCCCCTCCTAAATGCTGGGTCCCAAACCACAGTAAGATCTAAGGACAGACGGAAAGAGTGGAGATGCCGCAGCGCTGCCCTCGAGCTGCCACTCTGCAAGGTTCTCTAGAGGTTCCACACGTCTCCAGGCCTGCGTCCGTCTGTCCCTCCTGCGTCCAGCTACCTGGATGGCCTCAAGGCAAGAGCAAAGGCTGTTCTAAGCGAGCTTTCCATCTGGAAGGTTCTCTAACTTCTCCACTACGTGGGAAGGAATTTTCTCTCCTGCCCTCTTCCAAATTCTCTTGCTTTTTCTTTCCTTGTTCCTGGGCTCCACATCCTTAGCTTTCTCCACCCCCACCTAAAGGACTAAAGAGGCTTTCAAAGACTTGACTTTTGTTTTCTTTGGCCAAGGAAACCACTCTTTTCTCAAACAATTATTTCATATCCTATGAAAACTTTGGTCCAACAGAAAACACGAAACTCTGAATTTATGTACTCAGTGATCTTCCAGTACAACGCGTTCCTAGTTAAGAGTGTTCATAGAACATTTGTCAAAGCAGCTGATTTCCTGTACTTCACAATACAATCTGTAGGAAGGAAATGATAACCCTAAACTATCTGATGTTGCCTCAACAGCCCAAAAGGGTTTTCCCTACTTTGATGATGTATATTACATTATTGGCATAAAAAGAGAAATACTGAAATTAGTGGGTTTTTTTTTTTTTAACGAAATGAACTCCATCCTTCCTAAAACTCCAAAATTCACTCCTCTTTTGGGTTGGTGTTTAATTCACAAATATTGCTTTTGCCACACAATCGAGAAATATCAATCTATCGCCTCTTCATGAGATGAGCTCTGGAGGCTATCCATGTTAAGTTTGTATATATTTATTTATGCTTAATTTAATGGGAATGTGTAAATATGGCGAGCAAGTAGTTTGGGATTATTTATCTGTGAATCTATACCTCTGTGAATGAGTGGTTAAAAATAAAACCGCTTGACCCTAGGTAGAATCCTATCGGAACTTTTCTGTTCTTTATAGACAAGCTGTTATGGTACTGGGTAGAAATCGGTTTATTGTCCAGTGTTGATCTGATTTACATAAATAAAAAGATTGTTGTGTTTTTGTTGTGTTTTCATCTTCAGTTTCTTAAATATGGGTATAATTGAACTGCATAGACAGAAAAGACGTATAGCAAGCTGTTTGTAACCCCTCACTGACGCACACACTGTTTTATTCTTATAGCAGATACATAATAAATTTATCAGAAAAGGAGCATTTGTTTTCCCAAGAAGTGCTCTTTTATGTTTTAAATTTCAAATCTTCTCTCCTATTCCTAAGCGGATTTGGAATGAAGGTTCATGTCAACTGCATCTTTTGGTTTTCTTTGCCCTTTGGGTGATGAGGCACTACCTAAATGGTTCTGGGCTCCAATCAAATGGGCTGGGCCTTGCTCCCTCACTGCTGGTGGCGTGGCACTCTGACAAGGTGTTCCCAGAAAGAGATGGGGCAAGGAGCAATCTGCAGGGCTGGTGTGGAGTCCTGCTCCCCTCTACCTGCGATGGGGAGGAGTTAGCGAGACCTTTTCAGGACTGAATTTGCCTCTGACTTTTTCAGTAGTAAGAGACATTTCACAAATAAATGAGGGGAAATCCCTTGATCAGGAAGATGAGTAAGTCGCATATGTTGTAAAAAGCTGTCTCATCTCTTAGGCGGAAAGGCAGCCTGGAGAAGCCAGCTTTTCTTATTTGGATCAAGAGGCTTCTCCCTTCCCTGATAAACTGTGCTCACTGAACATCCTGATCTGTATGTCACCCCAAGAATACGGTATCTTTTCTCAGACCAGGAAAGCACAGTCATTCAAGATGTCTTACAAGTTGGATCAGCCACAGCTTCTTTTGGCCCTCGTGACATGTATCTGTGAAAGATGGACCTCTGAACTGTCCCTTCCTCACCAACGCTTTCAAGTTGACTTCTTTTTTTTTTTAAATATTTATTTATTTTTATTTATTACATTTATTTATTGTGTGTGTGTGTGTGTGTGGCCAGCTCAGCCCACCTGGGGGCGGGGCTGGCTGGCATGTGGTGCTGGGGGATCGAACCGCGGTCCCTGTGCTTTGCTAAGCTTGTTCTAAGTAGGTGCTTTAGACCACTGAGCCATCTCACCAGCCCCATCAAGTTGACTTCTAAATACCAGGAAGAGCAATATGCTTCCCCATTTAGGTCCAATCAAAAATACATCTTGATGATTGGATCCCTTGAAAGCGCTCACTCTAGCTGGGGTTATTCATGTTAGGCTTCCTATATCTACTTTCTGGTTTTCAGGTCAAACAGTTCCAGCTGGATTTATAAAGACAGAAGAGCCCATGCCTCCTGTTTTATGGGAGAGTCCGCCCTTCTCGTTTACTAATTTAAAAAGAGAAAGTATCACAGCTAGAACTATAAAGAATGGAATGAAATTTTTAAAAAGGGAACAGAAAGTAGCGAGGGAAGAAAAAAACAAAACCAAAAGGAGTGTGACTATGGGGGGGGCATTTAGCTTAAAGAAAATACACCCTGCATATACCTTAGTTTCTGGCTCAACTATGTTACACTGAGTTTCCTTTTTATTTGTCTTGCAGGGTGTGGGTTTGGCTGCCACTGGGCCTATACACAGGTAGTGGTGGGTGATGGCCCTGCTCATAGGCATTCCTACAGATCCTTAGCACCACTCCTGGACAGAGAGCCAAGTAATCTATTATCCCACTGGTAAACTCCAGCCACCAGTGTCCCTGCCATCACTGGCAAGGAGAAGGTAAGGCAATCACCTGTACCACATAAAACCTGAGGTCCTGAGGGGGGTAAGCTGTGTGTGGGGGAAAACTGGAGGAAAGACCTGGAGGAACAATAGGAAAGAGAATGGGGCAGGGACTCATGCCCAACAAAAGGCCCTGGCAGCCGGTACAGCTCCCAGCCGGCTGTCATGGCCTTGTGCTTTGGTAGGGAATAGGTAGAGTGAGCAAGCCAGTGACTGGAAGGACCCCTGGACGGTGCTGCCCCCGCACCCCTCCCTGCCCCCCCCCCCCCCCCGCAGACGGCCCGACTAGGTGGTGTTTTTAACAGCGCCTCCAAGCTGCTCACGGGCCAGTTTTAGCTGTTTAAGGGCTTGATTAAAAATAACGCTGGGAAGAAGTCATTTTTTTTTTTTTAAAGGAGGCCTTATTACTGTTCTTCATTTGCAAATAACAGCTCAGTGGGGGCCTCCCTTGGGACTGGGCATCAGAAGTAGGAGCACCAGAGAGCTGCTAGCCCTGTGGGAAGAGGCCCTTCGTGAGGGACCCTGAGGTTCTGCCGCAAGCTGCCTTCCACGCCCCAACTTTCTGCGAGGTTCTGTCATGCTGAAGCCTCAGAAATCAAACGTGCACCTCCAAGGCCATTAATTGTAGCTCCTCATTAATCTATTTATATGTGAGCCAGCGTTGGCTCTATAAATACAGTCCTATAAAATTGAACTCTTTCCCATAAATCTTCCAAACTGTGTATTTACATGCATTGCCTAGCGCGCTATCAGTCCTCGGGTGAACTCGGGAAGGACGCTGGTGGACCCGACCCACGCGAGGCGTTTCCATTCCTTCCCTCTCGCCCAAGGAAACACTCCAGAGTGGGGAGGGGCGAGGCAAGGAGGGGGGCACTCAAGTTTCCTTCTTGACTTTGCTTCCGCGCTCCCACCCCAAACTTGCACTCCCCTGATCCCCCCCCCCCCCCCCGCCCCTCAGCGTTGATTCTGGTCGCGGCTTTCCTGCAACTGCAGCACCTCTCAACAGCTTGCCCTCGCGCCTTTCTTCCTTCCCTGGTGCAAGCCTCAAGCATGACCCAGTCGGTCTGCCCAGAGGGAGTCGCGCAACGCCTTTGGGGCCGGGTCTCCAGGTTTAGGCGCCTCCAGGCCCCTTCCCAAGCTCAGGACGAGGCTCAAGCCCACCGCCTTCTCCCCACTTCCCTGACGCAGTGGCAGACAGCACCCAGCAGGCGCGGGGCTGCACCCTCCAGCAAGCACCGCACTGCGTCGCGAGCCTGCACCGAGGACGTGCACGTGCGACGAGCCGACGCACGCCGTGCCCCGCGCCCGCAGCTAGGCAAGCCCTGCGGTTGCCAGGCAGCGTGTCAGCAGTGCGCAAGCGCAGGCGCCAACGCACGCGCACTGGCGCGCCGATCGGCGCCCCCAGCGCGCTGAGCTTGGGCCTGGGTGCCCTGCGTCTGTGCTTGCCGCGCTTTTTGGTGCGCGCAGTCGGGGTGAGGGCGCTGGGTTTGCAAACAGCGCTGCCTCGGGCAGCTTTGTGTGTGTGTGTGTGTGTGTGTGTGTGTGTGTGTGTGTGTGTTTCTTTTTTGCAGGACCGGGGATAGAACTCAAGTCGGGCAGCTTTGTTGTTGTTTTTCCCTACGTCCTAAGAAGTTTACGCTTAGGTTGAGAGCGCAGTTCTGTCGCACGGTTCAGCTCGTTTCACCGGGTCCAGGCTGGCAGGGTCGGGCGACTGTGTGGCATCCACTTGTTCAGATCCTGTGCGTTCCTGCCCACTCCCAGCTTGGCTTTTTCTCGGAAGGCCTTCAGCCTTCTATAGATGATTCAGGGGAGAGCTGGAGCCAGGCCGAGGCGGGGGTCACACCCGTTGCCGAGAGAGGCATTTGCATAAAAACGCTCTTTGAATGTTTTGAAAAGCCCCGGCATGGCCAGTGGACTCCCGAAATGCGACCTACCAGGTCGCAGGCAGCGCAGCCTGCATCTTGTGCAGCTCGACCAGTTAACGCCCAGAAGACATTAGCAAATGCTTCAAGGATGGGCTGTCAGCTGTCATTAGCCTGCGTGCGCTCACCGAGCCATTTGAGTAACTGGGAGGAGGGCAGGCCGGGACACACAGGCGTGGAGTATTTGGTGGTGGTGGGTGAGTGTCAGAGCTTGTCCCCTTTAACAGTCAAGTGCCCAGAGTTCCGCCAGCATTCATAAAATGCAGATGCAAAGAAACTGGGGCCTGAGCAGTGGGGTACAGACTCGGGAAGAGGAGCTTCCGTGGAAATGAGACTCGTGGTAGTGGAGGGGAAATCACGCCCATCTGCTTGGGGTGCAAACTTCCCAATTCCGATGGTCTGTTGAGGAGGCTGCCAAGAACCACCCAGCCAAGACAATGAGCCTTGGCGCTCACCGTGTGAGCCCGGAGGTCCTGAGGTCTAGAAGCTGACATTCAGATCCTCAGAAGAGGTCAGGAAGCGTCTGATTGCTGGGAAGACTGGCAAAAGTGAGACTGGTAAATTCAGTTTCTGGGGAGATAGGATTTTAGGTAGTTTCCCCCAGCCTCAAAAGGGACAGGTAGGGATGGTGCAGTGTCTGGATAATCCAAGCCAGTACAAAGAAAATAAGCATCAAACCAAACCAAACTAGATGAGTTTGGCTAGCCCGCGTCACCGTCACCGTCCTCCCGCCCCCACCCCCCAGCGCATGCTGGTGCTAGCTTTAAGATCCTAGCGTCAATCTTAGACCTGGATGAATTTTGCATAAATGTACCATCCCTGATTAGTGATGTTGCCAAGCGATTAGATGAGAGAACTTCTTTGGGGGGGGGGGGGATTGTATTTAAGGCTGTTCACCAGCAGCACACACAATACCATGATGTGAAATGCTCCAATAACCAGACTAAACCAAAACCAGCCCCAACGAAGTAGCCTTACCAATGTGAAGTTTCTGTGCTGAGAAAGCCCCATGTGTTAAGGAGGCATCGCTCTAGTTTTATTTTTTGTGTTCATTAGGTTACAAAGCACTTGCCTTCAAGGCAGAACTCTTCGGTTAGACATTCCAAAAAAAATTGGAAACTATCAAGATTTGAAGCAAGGCTTACTCGTTTTAATAGGTTGTTTCGCTCACTGTACTGTCCCTTTGGCTGTCTTGAGGGACACAGGAGAAGGGACATAGGCATGAGCTTTTCTATCACAATAGGACCATGAAGGCATTCATTCATTTTATATTAAATCTAAAAACTTCTTCTTGTGCTATGATAAGGACCAGTCAAGACTGTGCGGCCAAAACAAGCCAACGAAGGGTCAAGCTGATCTCGGTCCCTGTGACCTTTCACCTTTTCTTTTATTCTCAGAAGTGAA